GAGGGTATTCTACTCGCAAGCCTCGATGTGCCCAACACCTAGACGCCAGCGCACCGATGTGTTGGTTGACTAGTTTCGGCTCGCCAACGAACACGGAAATCGTGCGCTGGACAACTGAAACACATATGCTACAGATAATGATGTGTCGCGCGCGCGCATGAACACAACGCCGCAATGCTGTCACATCCAGAAAAAGACTGAACATGATTGCATGTGACTGCCAAGTTATTCCAGCAAGCACTTTGCCTCAACTTCGGCAGCATGCTTTTCCTGGTCGTGGGCACGCCAGCATGGCATGCATTTTGCAGGACACGGGGCACGACGGCCTCCGCATGAGTAGCCAATGCCCCTCCAACAGCTCGCACCGCTTCCTCCAGCAAACTAAAAGGAACCACCTCACAAGTAGCTCACTCTGGGCATGGCCTGGATAGCACCTTCCTCTGCGGCCTGCGAATCGAAGGCATCTGAAATTGACAGACGAAGGACTGCATCTACAAAGATACATGCTAGGGTCCAGCTGCCAATACCAAATCAGCAAAACTCTGCACCTTCAAGTCTGCCTCTGCTTTGGCCTAGCAGCTGCTATCATGTTTCTTCGGCTGAGTATTAAATATCTGCAGGCTCTTGCCGACTCCAGGCCTCTGCATGCTTCACCAAAGCATCTCCCAGGACCCTAATGTCCTCCTCTGGTCAGGCCGACGCCGCGATGTCACTGCACAACTTCACTGTTCTCGCGGCTCGGGTCACAGGTTCCCACAGTTCGCCTCCACCTCCGCAGCGGATTTTGCCTGGCACTGGAGCTGACGGACAAGTGTGGGCTGGTTTCCCATCAAATCCTGGTTGCTGCTCAGCCCAACTTCCGCCGCTGCGGTACCCGTACCCGCCTCCGCAGCCTCTGCTTCTGGCTCTACCAGATCCTGCATCTGGGGCTTGCTTGCTCTTGCTTGGGCAGAGATGGGCAATTATTGCACCAAGTCCGCGCGAATTACAAACGCTCTGCATTAGATAGCCACCCGCGAGTACTGCGCCGTCGGTCTGGCTACGATGACTGAACTCGGAGCTCACGTCCCCAAACCCTTGAAGCCGAAAAGAGCAACCGGGCCTCTTCCACACACGGAGCCTGCTTTATCACCTGCTATCAGCACAAGCACATGAACCCAGTCACGGGCCACGGGAAGCTCGTTCTCTTGCTGTGACGAAGAGCAAAGCGAGCCTCCTCCATCGCTTCTCTCGTTTTGGGCACCTGCGACAGGGATGCCAGATTTCCATTGGAGCGACGACGGCTACTTGAGCCGGTACTGAGGTTCGTGCATTCAAAGGTGCCTGAAAGCTCAGAGGCGAGGCCGACAGAATGCCCCAGAGCTTTCTCGCCATAATCAAGTCATCCTGCCCCCCGGTGCCTGGGCCTCTGCCGCAGACTCCAGCAAGTCCTGCAGAAACGCTGCGATCCTTTACACATGCTGAGCTTTCCTCTGTCGATTCTTTGTCGCGTGGCTTGCCTGCTGTGGCTGTCCCCGACAGGACTGCAGAGTCGAGCTATGCACGTGGAGCATTGCCACATATTGCCACACTGTTCCATCGCCCTCACTTCTGGGTCCTGCATGGAGCCAATCACGGCCACATCTACCGCTGATGTGGCCTACCACGAGCATCGGTGGATATCGGTGGACACGGCAGATCTGCTGGGTCCGACAACGACTCCCAAGTGCTTGCAAAGCAGCTGCTCTCCACTTAAAACCCCTGGAAGGGGCAAGCAGGGCCGGAATCCGCCTGTGACATCACCAGGAGGGATGCCTCCTGTGGGGTCTGGCCAGCATGGCACGCCGCCGCATGCACGAGCTCCTGGCCGAGGGAAGGACTAACTGGAATCGGGATGCCTCACCACAGTTGCACGCATGTGGAAGTCCGTGGCCAGATCCATCTCGGACGTCCCTGCGGACGTGTGGCCTGCCAACTTTCAACGGCAGCTAAATCAGGGGGTGCCAAAGCTATGCAACAACCAGCCAGACGACAGTGAGATTTTCGTTACTTGCCAGGCCACCAGTGCTATGTGGTGGAGCATCCAATTTGTCCTGCATCGCAAAACGCAGAAAAGCTCCGTCAACGCTCCGACATCTCCGACAGAAAAAGCATGGAGGAGAATTCAGGCGCTTGACTCGCCCCAGTGTCCTGTAAGGAGCGTGTCATAGCGGCCACACCAGCATCGCCGGTGGCCTGCAAAGACCCAAAGACCCACTGCGAGCAGTATTCCCAGCTGACTGTAACAAAGCTCTTGTCAGCTCGGGTGAGTCTCAGAATCAGAAGAAAAATGCAGTGCACCCCTGAATCGAATGTGCCTGCGACACCACGACGGAGGCTTCATGTAGAGCTTCACCAGCGCGACATGCAGATCTTATGAGCTCCTGGTCAAATAAAGGGCGCTTCAGATTATGCGCATTGCCACTTCTTTCTGCCAGATTCTGTGTAGGATACAGAAGGTGAATTCAAGTTAATTTTGCTTTTCTGTCTAAGAAAGCCTCTGACCGCTGGCAAATACTGCCCACACCTTTGTTATACTGCCCATGTTGTTGAGACGGAAGGTTTCCGCATGCATGTCAAAATACAATCCGGCATGGGCAAAACCTTGCAGATCTTTGCACATCGCCCATACACGACACAAGCGCTTCCTCTGCCATCTCAGGTTTGGGAACCTGCAAAGCGAAGCGCTTCAGACTTCAAGGCCAAAGCAGGGAGCAGAAGGTGCCTCCTCCTCGACGACCTCGGGTTGTGCCTGGGAAGGAGAAGCTGCGAAGTTACTTTCGACGTTGCCGTTCCTTGAGATGCCTTCCGAATGCCTCTCCTCTCACTATTGAAGTTCAAAGGGCCTCGTGACGCATTTCTTCCTGACGTTCAGCTGTCTTGGTCCTACAACTTCCATCCTCGGTAATGTGCCGAACATGGAGATGTGATTCGCAAGCCTCCTTTGAAGCGGGTGCCAGGAGCAGCCAAGTGGCTTCTTCCTCCGCCTCTGCCTTGGGCTTCTGGGGGGCCTGAAAAAAGGAGACGATGCCTTCTGATGCTCAGCGCTGGCTCTAAGCCTTTCGGGTCGATTCGACAAGCTCCGGCTCCGCGAAGTCCTAACAGCATTGCAGGTGCTTTGGATTGTGGAGATGTTTCAGGTTCTCTTCGGGCGTTTAGGGTTTAGGGGTTTAGGGTTTAGGGTTTGGGGTACCTTATTTTAGGGTACTCTCTTAGGGTCTTCAAGGCCTTCCTGTGGGGCTCACCACTCAGATCCAGCACTGGTGAAACGACAAAAACTTAACTGTTCCGCAGTAGCCATCCGAGCTGGCCAACAACATCCCGTGATCCACATCGACAGCTTATAACCCCAATATCCCCAGAGCCAAAGCTTTATGGGAACCCGTGACGACTCGAGGAGGTGACCTCCTCCGGCTCTGCATGCTTGGCCTTGGGCTCGGGGGCCTCCACAAGCACTTCCGAACGGATGTTACCCCTCCGGCATGAACTTCCTCTAAAAGACAGGTGCCGTGACCTGACAATAAGATGCTTCGAACGTGAGTTTCTCTGGCTTGTGGATCCCGGGGTCGAATCAGAAAAGCCAAAAAGCCAGAGTCGACCAGCCTCGACATGCCGTGACTCCTGAGGCCAAGCTCGAATAAACTGAACATCAAAGCTCCTCTCATCATCCGCTCTTCGTGGATCACATCCCCCAAGTCCCAATGCGGAGCTCCCAAGCAGATGACGTTATAGCCTTTCCGGCTCAGGCAGCTCTGCTACTTCGGTTTGCAAGCAGCGTCCTGCGACTGTTCCGACGTGAACCTGAGCTATGCGAGGCTGTCCTGGGTGGCAGAGGTGACAGTGAAGTGGAACTGCGCCTGCGCTTTTCAAGGATGCAAGCTTCTAGCAAACAAAGCTGTGAATCCGAATGCCGCGCCCCGCAGCCCGCCCCAACTCTTGTCTCGGGGCCCTCTACATGCCTCTGGCCATTCCAGAGGCCGGCGCTGTAAGTCCCGGAGGAACCTAGGCAAAGCCGCAATGATTGCGGTATACTGCATACTGCAGCTTGAGACGCTCCAAGCGTGCACAGCAGTCGCTTTTCTTGCGCATTGTTTCTCCCAGTCCGCACAGTGCAGAACCGCAAAAACAGGTTGAAGATGCCGGCTGCAAGCCGGCACCGTCTGACCAAAGCGGAAACTTGCCAACACCCTGCAAGGCTCGTGAAGCGTGGAGCCAAAAGCTTCGCGCTTCCGTCATGCCACCTTCCATGCCAGCAACTGATCTAATCTACTAGCTGCGCTTACGGATAAGACTACCAGGCGCGACGCAGCCCCTGTCCGGGCGAGGCGAGTGACTTCTGGCCGGTGAGCTGCTTTCGCTTGTGACCCGTGAGCCTGCGAGATCCTGCGAGAGCCCCCGAGCAAGAACAGAAGCTTCTTCAAACCGGCCCATTTAGAAAGAATAGAAATTAGAAAGATTGCGCCACGCTAAGCAAGGCCACTTGGCAGACTTCATCTGACTTTGTGAGCTGCGAAGTGGACTCGCCTTGGTAGCCTACTCACTGGACCTTTCAAGCCCATCTCTGCAAACCTTTTGCCTGCTGTACTCTGGCTGCTCATGGTGCCGCAACGTTTTCCGATGTCTCACCATCGCCGAAGTCCTGACACGCCGCACCAGGTCTGTCAATGCGAGCTCCGTCTCGATCCCGAACATTCTGCATGATGAATTCCATCCGTTGTGCACTTGATTTATACGCAAAGGCGCACTGTATGTTCTATGTTATATATAATATATTATAATATAATATAATATAATATAATATAATATAATATAATATAATATAATATATTATCATATAATATAATATAATATAATATAATATAATATAATATAATATAATATAATATAATATAATATAATATAATATCTAATTATGGGTAACTGTGGTTTGCTGTGACAGCCCCTCGACGCAAATCTCCAGCAAGACATCCTGGAAGGTTTACTCTTTCATCCGATGTCCTCAGACTTTACTACCTGCCTTGCGCCGACGCTCGGCAATGGTTCAGGCTTGGCATTCTTGTTGCGCCAGGGGTTACACTTTGAACAAAAACTGTCGGATTTGACGGTTTTAGGCTGTGGGGCTGATGGTCATTTCATTCGCCCTATCACGGTTTCCTGGTTCATTCAAGTATAGAAACCGGTACGCACTGCTAAGGCTCCTATTCTAGCGTTACGGATTGATGATGTAGGGTTCAGGGTTTGCTCTAAAGTCGCGGTCTTAACTCCTGGATGTGCTTTCTTGCCTTCTAAGCCCTGAACCCGAACCCAGAACCCCCCCCCTCCCCCTGCCCCTCAACAAACAAACAAAAATAACCGTGCCCAAAGAACAAACAACACCACGTAGGACCACTGCTCCCCAACATGTCTCATGCGACCGAGGACCGAGCTGACGTCTTTCTTGGAGAAGGCAGCACCAGGCCGCTTCCTCTACGTCGACGCGCATCTTCTATAGGGGGGTGGGCAGTTTCCGGGAGTGGGGGTGTGAGTTTACGGAAGGCTCCTCGTGGTTTGGGGTGTGGAGCAGTGTCCATACAGGTCGGAGTGCCTATTGTCAGGCAAGACCTCGATTCTCCCCCATAAGCCATAAACCCTTAAACCCTAAGCCTCAAACCCCGATCTTGCAGCTGGGACAGCCACTTCGCAGGACCGGGTTACGGTGTTTCATCAGACATCGAGACTGTCAGGTTTCTACAAGGCTTTGCGAGGATTGCACGGGGCCAGAATTCAGAAGGCTTAGGTGTTGAGATGCTGTTTGTGCCATGACGTAGGGTTTTAGGATGAATCCCGAACGCCGAACCCAGATGGCTCTGAGGCTTAGTGCATTTTTGAGACAGCCCTGAAACCGTGAAGCCTAGCCCCACACACATTCTACAAGTGTAAAACCACAGACCCTTATAATACCCTAAACCCATGTGGGGGAGGCTGAAGGCCTCAAGCCCTTCGCTGGCGATCCGAGATCCCAAACGCACAGAAACCCAAATTCTCAAAGGAAACAGCAGCCAAAACCACAACATCGCAAGTTTCAAGTTGGACTTCTTATGTCATGCCTGTTTTCCATCTACACAGGTCCCACGAGGTGGCTTTTACTCTTACTCCTCTAGGGTTGGTGGCGACAGGGCTTGGGAGCTGAAAGTGTTGAGGGTAGACCGGGAGCTCTGCCAGACCGTCAACCCCAGGCCGTACCGCAACATACTTAGGTTTGGGTTTCATTTGTTCAAGGGATGCTCACGTTGAGGGTGTCGAGCATGCCTGAGGACCTTGCCTCGTCTGACAAGATCGACGTTTCTTTGGCCTGAACGCTTCATCGGCGGTTCAGGGACTAGGGTTCATCGTTAGAAGCAGACGCAGGCTGCATCCTGAAATACGCCTACCGTCACCTCAAACAGGATAGCTTCCCATGCAACCTGCACCGCTGCCACTGCTCTTGGGGAGTTGAGGTTCCACCACTGAAAACGGTGGCAAAAGCGGCACCCAAGGCAAGTTGGAGTACTGAAGAAGAATAACTCATGATCATGCATAGTGATAGTCTGAGAATCACAGAAATAGCAACTCGCATCGCCATAAACAGCCTGACCATTCTTATATAGGTTCTCTTTCGCCTTTAGCCCTACCGACAAACATGCCGTCATGGAAGTATGATTGTGTTTGCCAAGTCCTTGCCAGTGTACCATTTCGCGCATGCAAGAAGTCAGATTTGGATACACACGTATGCATGTCTTTGTGCAAGTGATTATGGGTTCGGTCATGCAGTATACCTATGTTGTAAATCTCGCTCTCTCTGCATGTATGCATGCATGTATTTGTGTCAGTCAGTATGTATGTATGTATGT